TATATTTAGTTGTCCAGCTAATTTCTTTCTATTATTTTGGTAGAGACGGGGTCTGGCTCTTGCTCAGGCTGATCTCGAACTCCTCACCTCAAGCAATCCTCCCAGAGTGCTAGGATTACAGGCATGAGCCACCACGCCTGGCCTATCCTGGTTATTCTTAAAGTTGTAGGGTTTTACCTCTCTCATTTAGTTCTTTTATTCAACTAAACTTGCTATTAGTGTATGGTGCGACATAGAGATACCGTCTTTTTCCCACATGGATAAACAATTGTCATACAGACTGTTTAGTGAATAGTCAGTTCACCTGTTCCCTACTAGTCTTCAGTGTCAACCCCATTACATATCAATTTCCATGTTTGTGCGGGTATGTATCTGGGTTTGTTATTCTGTTCCTTTGATCTGTGTCAACCTCTTACCTGTATTACACCATCTTAATGACTTTAAAATTAAGTTGTCTACGACTGTGGTCCCCAACCTGGGACCATACTAGTACTGGTCCGTGGCCCGTTAGGAACCAGGCCACGCAGCAGGAGGTGAGCGGCAGGTGAGCAAGTGAAGCTTCATCTGTATTTATGGCTGCTCCCCATTGCTAGCATCACCCCTGAGCTCCACTTCCTGTCAGATCAGTGGCGGCATTAGATTCTGCATTATGGTGAGTTGTATAATTATTTCATTATGTATTACAATGTAATAATAATAGAAATAAAGTGCTCAGTAAATGTAATGTGCTTGAATCATCCCGAAACCATTCTAACACCCCACACCCTCCAAATCTCTGGAAAAATTGCCTTCCATGAAACCGGTCCTTGGTGCAGAAAAGGTTGGGGACCACTGGTCTGCAACATGGATAAACCTTGAAAACATTATTCTAAAAGGCCTTATATTATATGATTCCATTTATATGAAATGTCCAAAATAGGCAAATCTGTAGAGGCATAAAGTGGATTAGTGGTTTGCCTTGGCATGGGGGAGATGGCAGTATTGGGGGTTAGGGGTATGGGATTTCTTTTTGAGGTGATGATAATATTTTAAAATTGATTGTAGTGGTTGTTACACAGCTCTGTGAATTGAATAAAAAGTATTGAATTGCATACTTCAAATTAGTAAGTTGCATGGCCTGTGAATTATATCCCAATAAAGCTTTTTTAAAAAATAAGCCGTGGTATAAGTTGGCAAGTCCCTTTACCCCTATTCTTTAAAATCGTTTTTGCCTATAATTGGTCTTTTGCATTTCCATATAAATTTTAATACCATCTTGTTAAGCTTCACACAAAATTATGTGGTGATTTTGGTTAGAATTCTGTTGAGTTTGTAGATCAATTTAGAGGCAGATGACATCTTTTTGACATAAAGTGTCCCTACCCATCAATGTGGTATTTCATTTCATTAATCTTTTAAAAGTTTTTCAATAAACTTTGTGTTTCTCTAAAAAGATCGTGTACATATTTTGCTAGATTTATTTATTCCTAAGTACCTTATGGTTTTTATTGCTACTATAAGTGGTGCTTTTTTTCTTTTTGACACAGAGTCTGGCTCTGTTGTCTGGGCTAGAGTGCTGTGGCTTCAGCCTAGCTCATAGCAACCTCAAACTCCTGGGCTCCAGCAATCCTCCTGCCTCAGCCTCCCAAGTAGTTGGGACCAGAGGCGCTTGCCACCATGCCTGGCTAATTTTTTATTTCTATTTTTAGTTGCCTATCTAATTTTTTCTATTTTTAGTAAAGACAGAGTCTTGCTCTTGCTCAGGCTGGTCTCAAACTCTTGAGGTCAAGGGATCCTCCCGCCTCAGCCTCCCAGAGTACTAGGATTACAGGCATGAGCACTTACCCAGCCTATAAGTGGTATTTTAAATTATATTTTCTACTTGTCAGTTGCTGGGGTATAGAAATGTGTTGATTTTGATGAGTAGTCTTATATCTAGCAATTTAGTTGAATTCTCTTATTTTTAATTTGTAGATTCTCTTCAATTTTCTGCGTGTAAACAATAACATCATCTACCATTCTTATATATTTTTAAATTTTTTGTCTTAATTCTCTGGCTAGGATTGCTAAGTGTAATCAGGAATAGAAGTTGTGATAGCTGGTATCTTGTCTTGTTCTTAATTTCAAAGGGAATGCTTTGAGCAGTTTATCATTAAGTATGATTACTGCTTTAGAACACGGATTAACATCTGGCCCAAGGCCTATTTTTGTAAATAAAGTTTTATTGGAACACAGCTACACTCATTCACTTACCTATGTGGTGCATGACTGCTTTCATGCTATAACAGCACATTTGAGTAGTTGTGACAGAGACAATATGGTCCTCAAAGCCTAAAATATTTACTATGTGGCCTTTTATAGTAAAAGTGTGCCAGCTTCTGCTCTGTGGTGTTGATTGCTTAATAATAAATTAAGGAAGTTAGGTAGGTTTTCACCCATTCCCTCCTCTCCCATTCCCGCTGTTTAATTTCCATCAAGTTATATTTCCCCTATGCATATGTGTGCTCATCGGTCAGTTCCAATTTAATAGGGAGTACCTACCTAACGGGTATAATGAACACTACCTGGGTGATGGGAACACTTACACCCTGACTCAAGCATTACAAAATCGATCCATGTAACCAAAAAAATTGGTACCCCCCCCTTATACTTTGAAATAAAAGTAAATAAATAAAGGAAGTTACCTTCTGCTCTAGATCATTAAGAGGCTTTTTAAAATCATAAATAATTATTGAATTTTATAAATGCCTTTTGTACAACAATTGAGATGGGCATTTTGTGGTTTACTTTATGTGTGGTAGATTACATTAAAAAATCAATTAGTAGTGAACAATCCTTGTATTCCTTAAATAAACACCATCATAGTGGATAAAATTTGCTAAGAATTTAAGATGATTACCTTGATGTTCATAAGTGATATTGGCCTGATATATAGCTTTAGTTGCAGCCCATATTTTATATATAATGCTTTCATTTTTATAGAGTTTTAAATATTCTTTATTTCTATCAAAATTTTTTATTTGACTCATGGATTATTTAAAAGTGTGTTTTTGAATTTCCAAAGTTTTGTTTTGTTCTTAAATGCTAACTCAGTTGAATTGTGATCAATGTTACTGACTCTGATATTTGTTGAGATTTGCTGTAGAGCCAAGTATATGATCAGTTTTTGTAAATATGCCATGTGAAAGAGTCCCTAGAAATTGACAAAAGATCAATAATCTGATAGAAAAATAGGCAGATTATGAAGTCTTTTCACAGAAAAGTAAAAATTATGCTTAAGCACCTCATTCATTATAAGAGAAATGCTACATCAGTTTTACACTTACAGACTACTTTTTCACTTTTGAGATTTGCCCAAAAAATGCAAAATGAAATGCTTAGTACTATATTATTACTTTGAGGCTGTAGGGAAATGAACAGTCTTTTACATTCATTGCAGTATGAGTAGAGTATACATGATTGCAACCTCTGTGGAGGGTATTTGGCAATATTTGTCAGCATTACAAATGTATGTGTTCTTTAGCAATTCCATTCCTAGAAATTTATCCTAATGTTTTATTTTGCATGAAATTATGTTTGTTCAAAATAGAAAAAAAATCCAGATGTCCCAGACTTGTTTTATGGTATGTCCATACAATGCAGTACTATTGTAAACAATGAGGATGCTTTCTATGTTGGGAAAGATCCCAAATTATATATCGTTAAATGAAAAAATCAAGGTCTATAATTGTGTGTTATAGTGTGCTGCTTTGTGCAAAAGAAAAGGCAGGGGATAATTATATATACTTGTATTTGCTAGTTTTGAAATAACGAAATATTAAAAATATGCACAAGAAACTAGTGTTAGCTTTTGGGGGAGTGAGGGAGCTGAGCAAATGAGGAACAAGGGTATGTGTATATGTTTTTAAGTTATTCTTGAGCTATAAGATCATACTAAATACTAAAAATTTCTGGTGGGATGGTGGGTTTTTCAATTGTATTTATAGCTATTTGGACATTGCTTTATATACTTAAGCCTGTGTTATAAGGTACACTCAAGTTCAAATTTGTTCTATTCAGCTAAATGAATACTATCATGTACTTTTTAAAAAAAATTTCTAGTGCTCTTTGTGTTAGTCTGTGTTTTTCTTCTGACATTAATATGTATATATTTGGTATGTCCTTTCTGTCCTTTTTAATTTCAAATTTTATGTATATACTATATAACAGGCATTAAAAATCTAATCGGACATTTGTCTTTTAATTAAAAATCCATTCTTTTGCATGCGTTGTTATGTAATTGGACATTTATCTTTCTTATTCTGTACTTTCTATTCTGCTTTTTCAGTACTATTTTTCTTTTTTCTCTTTTGGATTCAATAAATTACTCTATTTTTCCTTTCTACTTACCTAAATGTTATAATGTGTGTGTGTGTGTGTGTGTGTGTGTGTGTGTGTGTGTGTGTGTAGATCTATATAATTTTATATCCCTTTAATGGGCCCCCTTACTATTTTAATATGGATACTTAAAGCTTAAAATTAACATTTTACCCTCCAGTAGAGTTTAAAATACTTTAACAAAGACTTTAGTTGGCAACATCTCTTTACTTTTATTGGTACAAACACAATGACTTTTTACAATTGATAGTTTTTTAAATTAGATCAAATGCAGTTTATCAACTCACAACAGCCCTGTATATTAGGTACATTATTATCCCATTTTGCAGATAAGACAATTGAGTAACAGACTAGTTAAGTGATTGATACAAAGTCACACAGGTAGTAAATGTTAGGGCCAAACTGATGATAATCCAGACAGTATTGACAATGTTTAATTTGGGGAGAGGTGTTAAAAGATAGCACTAAAATATGAGACGTGATTACGTAAAATGAGAGAAGATCAGAATTAAACTTGACATTCTATCACTTTTAAAACATGTTACAGTTTCAGAGATGTTAAAATAAGTGCCTTTTAACAGTACTTGGCACACAGAAAGTATTAGCTCTTTTATTAGTCAGTTGTCCTTCCAGAGAGGATATTATATTTCCTTCTCTGCTGGTGGCATTACCAGCCAGGGAACACTTGAAGTTAATTATTTTGACTTGGAGTTTCTTGGACCCTGCTGATAGTACACAGTCAAACCCTAAACCCATTAGGCAGTCTCTTGTAATGAATTCTCAGAGGAGATCCATGCCATTCCACCCTCCAGTCAAAATCCAAGCTGAGCCAACCTTTCAAGGGTCCCGGTTTAAATTTGGAGGTCTCAGTTCTAACACCCTGCTTGGTGAGACCAAGACTTTGTCTCCTGTTTTTCTAGAAGCCTTTGAAATCCAGAGCTCTGTGTTAATCCTCAGGGCAGATTGGCCTTCATGTTGCTCTGGATTTTCATTCCCTGAAGTTCTCTGAGTTTCTCTCCAGCCGAGCTATGAATTTAAAGGAATGTTTGTTATACTTGATGATAACTTTTTAAGAAGAAGGCCTTTTGGGCAGTTGTGTCCAATATATTTTGTATTCTTGGAACATAAAATTCTGGAAACCTAGCTTGTAGCAATACCTCTTAAAATGGCATCTCTGTGTCTTTGGTTTTTAGTGCTTTATGATCACAGATTATATTAAATAATAGTGTTGTGATTTATTTATTTTTTAACCACTATAAGGGCCAAATAAATGTACTTTTAATCCTTACTTAAATTGCATTCCTTCTGTTTGGGCACAGAGTATTTTAGAAGCCTACCAATAGGTAGTTCGAAGTCTCAAGTCAATTAGTTTTGACACTTAAAATGTAATAATTCTAAAATATAACTTTTTTTTTTTTTTTTGCAGAGTCTTGCTTTGTTGTTTGCCTGGGCTAGAGTGCTGTGGCGTCATCCTAGCTCACAGCAACCTCAGACTCCTGGGCTCAAGCGATCCTCCTGCGTCAGCCTCTCGGGTAGCTGGGACTACAGGCATGCGCCACCATACCCGGCTAATTTTTTTTCTATATATTTTTAGCTGTCCAACTAATTTCTTTCTATTTTTTTGGTAGAGACGGGGTCTCGCTCTTACTCAGGTTGGTCTCAAACTCCTGAGCTCAAACAATCCACCCGCCTCGGCCTCCCAGAGTGCTAGGATTACAGGCGTGAGCCACCGTGCCCGGCCTAAAATATAACTTTTGAAACTATACTTCAGTGTTGTATTCCTGACTCCAACATTGAAAACTGTGCTGGAGAGTTAGAATGAGATGACCAAATTTGACTGAGCTTGATTGAAATGAAAAGAGAACTTCCTTGAAACCACTTATTCAAATTACCCATATCAATTGTAACTACAGTGAAAACATCCTTTCCACTTTCTTTTTTATTTTGACATAAAAATTTTGTTTAGTAAAAGCAGATTATGAATAACAGATTTTATTAATTTTGTTCTTATTTAATAGATCAGATGAAAAGAAGAACATGAACTGGAAACAGCTTCCCAAAAAGCCATGCAAAAGTCTACTTAGTGCCTTAAAGAAATTGTATCCTCAACTATCTTCAGGTAAATATGAAGAAAAAGGAATATTATTAATGAAAGATTGTATATGACAAAATTCTTCTTAAATTTAAACATAATTTTGGTCTACTTAAAAAGACTCATTACTTAACAAAATTCTAGTAATAAGTCAATATTGTTCATGATTTTTTGAACATATTTTCTGTGCCCTGCCTGCTTGAGCCTCCCTGCTAGTTTCTGTCAGTGATCTCTTTATGTAAATGGAGAGAGGAATTTCAAGAAGTCATGGGCTTTATTTTGGTTATTTCCTTAATCGATCAATCATTTTAGATATTACTTTATATATTAATGCTATTCTCTGTATTTACTTCGTCAGTTCACCGAAAAACTCAAGAAGGCTCAGCAATTGAGATGACTCCAATTGAAGCAGATTTCTCCTGGCAAAAGAAGATGACACAACTTGAGATGGAAATTCAAGAGGCATTTTTGCGCTTTATGGCATCTATTTTAAAAGGATATAGAACATATCTCAGACCAATCACAGAGGCTCCTTCAAATAAAGCCACAGCTGCTGATTCATTGTTTGACCGACAGGGTGAGAAGCATTGAAAATATAATTTCTTTTTATTGAAGTGAAAAATATTTTCTATTTGATACTACTACCAAGAAATATTTATATTTAAGGAATTCATATTAATTAACTTACATGTATTTATAACCTAGCTCTATGAACAGAAACATGTTGCTAGCATTTATCTTCCCTGTGTGTTTGTCTTGTGTCCGTATTTCCTTTTCTTGCAAGGACACCAGTTTTATTGGATTAAGGCTCACCCTAATGACCTCATTTGAACTTAATTACCTCTTTAATTACTCTATCTCCAAATAGTTACATTCTGAGGTACGAGGAGTTAGGACTTTAACATATGAATTTTGGGGGGACACAATTCAGCTCATAAGAGCATGTTTGGGAATAAAGATTAAATGGTACAATTTGACCAGAGTGATGAGCTTTAGCAGTGTTGTGGAAAATAAGGCTGAAAATAAGATTAGGGCTCAGATTGTGGGTAGCCTTAAATGTCAGACTATGAATTTTCCTAATGGGCAATAGTGGGACATTAATTAATTAATTAATTCTCTCTCTCTCTCTCTCTCTCTGAAATAAACTAAAAGGAATTTAGAAAGATATTTACCAATTTTCTGAGGCCTAAGGTTTTTGTTGTAAACAGGACAGCATTTGGTCTATTAGGGGATACAAACATTAGATAATAAAATAATACAAACACTAGTTACATTTTAATAAGTGTTGTGAAGGAAAGTATTGGTTACAGTGAGAGTGCTAGCAAGGTCAGAGAAATGTTCCTTGAAGAAATAACAACTAAGCTTGGGCCTAAAAAAGGAATTATGTAGGGGTTTGAGGTCAGCTTTTTATTAGGGATACTTTCACAAACAAAAAATATAGAATAATATAATGTACCATCATATAGCCATCTACCAACTTCATCATTTTTGTTTCATTTACCTTTAATTTACCCATTTTTTAAAAAGTATTTTAAACCAAATTCCAAACAGGATATCATTTTTTCCATAAATTGTTGTTTTTCCTTTAGAATTTCCTGGATGTTATTTGGTTTTGGCTTTTTGGCTGATTGTATCCTTATGTTGTTATTTAACATTTCTTCTATCATCTTTATTTTTTATAAACTTGTGGTGAGACCGAGAGCTGCACTGTCCAGTAGTAATACAATGTAAACCACATATAATTTTAAATTCCTTAGTAGCCACAATAAAAAAAAATAGGAAGTAGGGGAAATTAATATTAACAATGTATTTTCTCTAATATATTCAAAACAATAGAATTTTGGATGTAATTAAATTTTAAAAATTATTAATGAAGTCTTTTACATTCTTTTTTTCACACTAAGTCTTTGAAATCTGTCATGTATGTTATAGTTAACAGCATATCTCAGTTTGGATCAGTTACATTTCAAGTCCTGAATTGCCACATATGGATAGTGGTTACTGAATTAAACAGTGCAGATCTAGAGGCTTGATTAGATTCAGGTTCAGTTCTCTTGGCAAGCAGTACCAAAACACACGGTGCTCACTACTACCTATTGCATCGTACTGAGAGGCACATTCATGTCTGGCTGTCCCACTTTTTAGAGCTCCTAGGTTTAAGTGTTATCAGCTTCACTCATTCATTCATTATAGTTTCCCCATCAGCCTTTCACTTAATTGTTTTAGCAGCCTTTGCTGATAATTGCCTAGATTCATTAGAAGAAAGAAAAAAACCTTTTTATTATTACTGTGGAAAATAATTTATTTCTATTTTATTTAAGCCTTTCTCTACTAAGTAGTATCTCGAAGGGATGGGGATGAGGACCACAGCATGTGGAACACCCCGAGGCATCAAAGAAAGGCTGGCGAGAAAAGTGTCTCAAAAACTATGCTTGAAAAGGGGGTGTTAGCCATATTATGCAAGATCTTTTAGGATCAGTAATAGTTTCAGTCTTTATCCTAAGAGTAATTGAAAGCCTGTGAAGGATATTTAAGTAAGCAATAGGATCAGATTTGTATTTTTAAAAAATCACCCTAGGCTGGGCGCGGTGGCTCACGCCTGTAATCCTACCACTCTGGGAGGCCAAGGCGGGCAGATTGTTTGAGCTCAGGAGTTCGAAACCAGCCTGAGCAAGAGTGAGACCCCGTCTCTACTATAAATGCAAAGAAATTAATCGGACAACTAAAAATATATAGAAAAAATTAGCCGGGCATGGTGGCACATGCCTGTAGTCCCAGCTACTCGGGAGGCTGAGGCAGGAGGATCGCTTGAGCCCAGGAGTTTGAGGTTGCTGTGAGCTAGGATGATGCCACGGCACTCTAGCCCGGGCAACACAGTGAGACTGTCTCAAAAAAAAAAAAAAAAGTATGCCCAGTATCAGAGTGAGCTGTAGGACTAGAGGTTCCTCATAGGGAATCTGGATTTCAGTGACAAGGTTAATGGTTTAAGTTGTTTTTTTGTTTTGTTTTGTTTTTTTTTGTGGTTGAATTATGCAGAAGGAGCTATATGTGGTTACTACAGATTAAGCATTCCTAATCTGAAAATCTGAAATCCAAAATGTTCCAAAATTTGAAACTTTTAGAGTGTTGACGTGATGCCATAAATGGTAAATTCCACACATAGGTACTTGACATGAACTTTGTTTCATGCACACAGTTATTTAAAATATTAAATGAAATTACCTTCAGGCTATGTGTATAAGGTATATATAAAACATAAACGGATTTCCTGTTTGGACTTGGGTCCCATCCCCAAGATATCTTATTATATATATGTAAATATTTCAAAATCTGAAAAAAATCTAATATCTGATACTTTTGGTCCCAAGCATTTTCGATAAGGGATACTCAACCTGTAGAAGCTCCTATAAATATGAATATATATAAAGAGAATGTAATGTAGATAAACTACAAGTTTAAAATAGTGTTTACTATTAAAATAACATCTAGTTCCATTTTAAAATTTGAACTTAATTGTAATTTTGTTCTCTTTAGGATTTTTAAAAAGCCGAGATCGTGCCTATACAAAATTCTATACCCTTTTATCCAAAACACAGATTTTTATTCGTTTCATTGAAGAATGCAGTTTTGTAAGTGATAAAGATACTGGATTGGCATTTTTTGATGACTGCATAGAAAAGGTAAAAGTTTGTCCTATATACCAATGTTAAGAAAAACCAACGTTAAAAAAATGTTTGGCTTACCTATACGATTGTCAGTATTATTGTTAGCCCAAAGTCATCTGAGGAAGGCAATATAGGCATATTGTGTGTTTGTGTTATGGATTCTGGGCTTAATATAAGAATCTATTTTTTTTTTGTAGTATCAAGTTTTTACACATATAGCTTATTTTTCTCTTTGATTCTTTGGTTTTATAGCTATTAAGTACTAAGGCTATTTCATAGTTTAAGATTTAGGTTTTTTTAATTAAAAAATTTAGTTTTATGGGTAGTAGAAGTCCTCTGTTCTTTTGTTTTAATGTCTTTCCAAATGCTTTTGCTAATATTTTTTTTGCCCCAGTGGAGGATATTTGGAAATATATTAAATTTTAAAGCTTTCCCCTACCCATTATAAGGAAATTTTATTCTTGACAGTGATGACTCAGTTATATATTTTTTCTCATTTTTAATAGGATTTTTTGCTAAGTAGATCTTAGGGCCAATTGTTTATATAAACCATATATTATAGAAAATTTGAGATTGTATCCAAAAAAGAATATTATGACATTTTAATTTTTATGGGCACCTAATGATTCATGTGCCTCAGAAGACTTGAATAATTTTCTCCCATTCTATCAGTGTGATCTAAAACTCCAGTGATGTAATTATTGACAAAACTGTTCAACATTTTTGAATAGTTTTTTAAATAAAATTGATACCTCGGTGTGGTGGCTCATGCCTGTAATCCTAACACTTTGGGAGGCCAAGGCGGGAGGATCACTTGAGGCCAGGAGTCTGAGACCAGCCTGGGCAACATAGCAAAACACTGTCTCTCTAAAAAAAAAAAGAAAAAATTAGCCAAGCATGGTGACATGTGCCTATAGTCCCAGCTACTAGAGAGGCTAAGGCAGGAGGCTCTCTTGAGCCCATAAGTTGGAGATTACAGTGAGCTATGGTCACGCCACTGCACTCCAGCCTGGGCAACAGAGCGAGACTCTGTCTCTTAAAAAATAATTGATATTCTAACATCTTCCAGTTAGATAGGAAGCTTAGATGATGTCAATCATGAATGCCAGGGTTTAATAATGAAATTTTTTATTTGAAAAGCCAGATTCTCCTGTGATTGGCCATCTTTTGTTTGTAAATAAAGTTTATGAGATAACTAATCAAAATAAATTGTTTTCTATCCTAATAGCCATAAGTGAAATATACTCTATCTTAAGAGTAGAGGACCTAAAAATACATTGTGAAATGTTTTATATCTACCGGTGTTAAAAAAGGATGGTTTTTTTCTAAATCAGAATTTAAGATAAAAATCTCTATTAAATTCATAGTGGACATTTTCATTAAGAATCTCTTCTTTTTTTCTAGTTGTTTCCTGATAAAGGCACAGAGAAAACAGATAAGGTATTTTTTCTTAAACTCAAGTATTGAAATTTCAGAATCAGATTTTGCTTATGTGCAAATTAATTGGAGAAAATATTTATTTTCAGGTTGATTTTGATTCAACAGAAGATACCAAATTGATAGAACTAGATGATTCACAGAAAAGTGAGCACACTGTATTTATAATGCCACCAGAGCCACCTCCTGACGATGGAAAGGACCTGTCACCAAAGTACAGGTAGCAGGAATTTTTTTAAAAGCTGTTTGGGCACGGTCTTATAGTTTATTTTTTGATTTTTTTTCTTGCGATTATTAGAAATGTACTTTAGTTATTTGTGGATGTCCTTTTCAATATTAATTTAGTGAACTAATGGAGATGATAATTTTATGGAGATTCCACCAGGTATTATAATTTAGAATTGGATGACCTTATTAGAAGGAAAGACAGATGTTGATTATTATTTACCTTGATGTTTAATTATATTTTAATCTTTAAAAGTTTCAGTTAGAAGAAGAAAAAAATTACTTTTATGAAGTTCCCCTCTCCCTTTGGATATTTTCTTATTAAAACAAAAACTGTGAAATTCTTATGAGTTAGTAAGATACCAGAGAAAACTTCAAGTAGAGGGCCAGGAATCATTCTTTATTAAAATAAAGAATAGGATTTGGATGTGAATCTTTTAAGAAATTAGAATGGATTGATTGTT